AGAACACCTTTCTGCATCTTTAAATTATCTTAAAAACATGATCCAGTTAAAAATAAAGTAATCCATTTGTATTGAGATTTCAAGAACTCTATGGTATGGGAAAAATATTCAGAGACTTTGCAGATTCTCTCTCCACTTTGACTTCAAAGAGTAAACTATATTCATGGTGGTGCCTATCTTCTTTCTAGGGAACTTGGTCCAAGTTTAAAGCCTCTGAAGCAGAACCTTGGGCTCATTTGAGCCTCTATCATGAAAGCTTTAGTGAATCCCATCCCCTCTCTTTAGCTTTGATTCTTCCAGATAAAATGGCAGCATAAGATGTTCTTGCTCAATGGCCATGGTACTAGATGTAAGTGATATGTATAAATAGCTCAGTGGCCAAATTATAGAAATAGTTTTATTAACATGTAACTGTAAAAGATATTGCTTAATACACACACACACACACACATATACACACACACACATATATATATACACATACATATGTGTTAGACAAGCATGAACAGGCACAAGTCAATACACATGCACACACTCAAGAATAACATTACATAGACAGCACATCTAGATTTCCATAGCAGTTCTAACCATATGTTTCGTGTCTAGGTTGCTGCTTAGTGAATACATGCATGTGGACAACAGTTCCTGGAAGCAGGCAGCAAGCCATATAAACAGATAACATAATACATAATGAAATGGGGCAAACCAATAGCAAATCGTATCATCACAGAATGTTAACTCAACCAATTTTGCCCTTGACAAATGAAGATGAAATGTAACTGAATAAATATCATTTAAAAAAATTAATCAAGTTTGCTGACAATTAATTTTATATGAAATCCTACATATATATTACAGCACAGCATACATGCTATATTTTCTTTTTTTCCCTCATTTTTGAACACTTTTATTTAAAGTTTTGTGTTCCAAATTCTACCCTTCCTAAGATGGTAAGCAATCAGATATAGGTTACACATGTGCAATTACGTAAAACATTTCTTATATTTTCTAGAGTATCTATTATGCAGTCATTTTAACTGTAATCTATTTGAGGGAAAGAGTGATAAGCAGCCTGCTGGAAAAGGGGGGAACCTCTCAACTTCATTTAAGGAAAGCTCCCTGGCCAACTGCCTCTTCCTTTCCCACCAGGTCACCCTCTTCCGGATTTCTCTTTCACACCCCATGTCAAATACCTTTCCCCTTCTCCCCTACTTCATTGACTTATCACTATCCCTGCTGGGGATCACAAAGCACTCTATACATTTTTTACATACTTAGCATACACTGTCTTTAACTACAGACTAAGTTTCATGAAGAGAAGGAATCATGTCTTTTTTGAAACTTTATGACTTCCCTAGTGCTAAGAACAATGCTCTACAGACACAATATGCTTAATAAAGGTTTTTCATTTTATTAAATTGAATGTATTTGGCAGGAGGTTTCAATAACTCTCCACCCCTACTGAACCCAGTAGAGTGTAGAACTGTTAAAATTTTACCCATTGGTGCATTACAAGAGGAAACAGAAACCTTCAACTTCAAAGGGGTAGAAAAGAACGGGATTCTTTTCTTTTCTCTTTATGTTGTGAATTTGGGGTATAAATCATTCTGGAGAGTGTTTGTAACAGTTTGTTTATAGGAGGCAGTATTCTGCATTTTCATCTTCAGAGTAAATCTTGAGTTCCACCTGTTATCTGTTCTTTTCTATTTATAAAATCTTGCCATCCTACTTAATTCAATGAAGAAACTATTTAATAATTGATGAGGATTTTGGGAGCTGAAATATTGTAAACAAAGTAGTATTTCAATATAGCAGTATAACAAAAACTAAACAGCTTCCCTCGGTGATATTTACAATTTCTTTAGCACCTATCATCCTAATACCTAGACATAGCTGTGTTAGACATAGAATAAGGAAAATATCTTCTCATCATTACTCCTCTAACCTCAAAGTGTGATCTACCATAGTACAGTCTTCACATGCACATAGTTTTTTTAAAGTTACTTTCTTTCCTCCAAATGACTGAGGGGTGGGGGAGGAAGGCATTAATTATGTCATAAGAAAGAAGGATCAGGAATTCCCTGACTCTCCTCCCTATGACAGTCTTGATCTGGGACTCCCCTGATGTCCTCTCATTACATTTACATACAACTATGCAATATTTAGTGTAAAAGAAATAGGTAGGCTGTATTTCTTTTAGTGATAAATTGTCAGCATGTTATTAAGTCCAAATAATACACAGTTTAAAAGCAGCTAAAAGGCATGTATCCCACTTTTCCTTATTTATAGTCTCATTCTTATCTTGTAAGAGCCCTTTTTGATTCCTTCTTGACTCAGTCTTGAGCAAAATAGTGGAGAAACTAAGACACATCGTCAGCTGGTGACGGTAACAAGCTGCTATAAGCCAAGTGAAGCCATATGGGAATGGTTTATGTTGTAACAGCTAATGACAAATCATTTAAAAAGGACACAGTTGTAGCTTATGGGATATAGTGATAGGATAGACAGTATGAAGTGGGAGGGGAATTGTGGTTTGGATCAGTTTAACTGATATGCTATTTTTAGGGAAATTTTGTGTTCTCACTGGTAGCTTTTCTTCAGTTTTTTTTTCCCCAAATCTTTTCCAGGTAGCGAAGTCATTCTTATATGCTACACAGATAGTTCTGTAGGTTAATTCGTGAAACAGGTGAACAAAAAATACTGTGGGTTCTAACCATGGCTTTGATGATTTGAGTAACAACCCACATATTTATTCCTGTTGTGTTCAGCACCTAGCACAGAACCTGGCACACAGTAGGTGCTTAGTGAACACTTGTTGATCAATTGACTACTGAGACAGGGAGAAGAAAGTCATTTCCCCCCTGCTTTAACCTACTTCTTAATTATCATCTTTTTATTGATTACAGCCCAGTTCTGATTTCTGTTATTTGCATTTCATCAGTAGTACTCTAAATCTGGGGGGGGGAAGTCAGCCAAAGGAATATTATATAAAAATTGGAATACGTTTGATGAGAAAAATATAATTAATTTTGCTCTTATTTCCTACTAGGATACATCATCCTGACGTGCTGAGAACTCCTTGGATTCCTGAGGTTTCTGTCAGTGTAGAGTACGCCTTGACCTATTTTAACCAATCTGAAGCATCAGCCTGGTGTTTGCTTGGGTGTTATTAATGTCCACCACAGTTACATTATTAGGCTCGATGGGATGGTGATCCACCCCCCATCCCCCACCCCCAAACAGTAACTGATAAAGAGGGGAAGGCAATGTAACCTACATCTGTACAGGTAATATCCACCATGATGGAAACATCGATCTTTAAGGTACTGAAATATGAAGTCAAGTACTGTACAGTACCAGCCTCCTGGACTGGCTTGAACTTCTTGCAGAGGAAAGCCAGAAAAGTCATTCCACTGGCAACCCCAACTGGACCCCTCATCTGAGGGCCCTAGTGTCCTGAGGCAGGCCACACCCACAGGCATATTTAAATCTACCTGAACTGCTCCTAGGAGATTAATAGACACCCACCCAGTCATACCCTAACCATCTCAGTGATTCTGAACCCTGGGCTGCCATTATTCAAACCCCTTTCTCAATCCCTCACTATACATTCCCTTTTTTCCATTCCCTTCCCTTCCCCCCACCTCTCATGTCTCACCCCCTTTCACAATGTTTTCTGAAATGAATGTTCTACCTACATATCACAAAATTGTTTTCTTCTAAAATCTTTTCCTTTCCTGTTCCTTTCATCTTCAGGCTCTCACAAGGCCTAGCACTCTCCTGACCACACAGCTTCCTTCGTCACCCTTTCCAGCACTGGTTGTACTTCTACTCACTCATTTTCCCTTCCCTCATTCCCCAATTCACTAGTTGAGGGTGTGTGTGTGTGTGTGTGTGTGTGTGTGTGTGTGTGTGTGTGTGTGTGTGTGTGTGTGTGTGGTATACTCCTTGCTCCCCTCTACCACCATTACTCAGTAACCCTTCCCTTTTGAGGTTTACTCAATCCATAATTACCATCTAATCAAAATTCTGGAAGATACTGCCTGACCTTTGAGACACTCTTCTTTTTTCCTCATTCCTTGGTTTGACGTCTTTCTCTCTTCCCCAATTTTTGCTTGCATAGTTGGGGACTTCAACATGAATACTAATACTCTCTTAACACTGTAACCTCCCAGTTCCTCAACTTATTCATTTCCCATGACCTACTTCTCCACCCTACCACAGCCACACACAGAGATGCTCAAACCCTTGATCTTGCCACCACCCACAAACACACTATTTCTATGTTTAGGAATTCTTAAATCCCCTTAACTCATCAAAATCTGTTATTACGATTGCTATCAAAATCTCTGCCTTGCAATCCCAAATGCTGTACTTTGTCATCACTCTGGTCTTCAATCCCTAGACCCCAGTTCTTTCTCAACCTATCGCTCTAGCATTGGCTACATTCTCTTCCTTTCCCTGTCTTTAGCTCTAGCGGAACCAGTTGAACTCTATGGTCCTTTTCTCTTGAGTTTCTTGCCCCCTTATCCAATGGTTGACCTTGCCCTGCCTATTCCATCTTGGATTACTCCCGTTATTTGCTGTCTTGGCTCCTCCTCATGCGCTGCTGAATGAAGTTAGGGAAAATGACAAAACTCTACCAATTACGTAAACTACAAATTTATGTTACATAATTTTAATTACACCCTGAAACCAAGCCAATGAGTATGACTGCTGCCTTTTAGGTAGTCTGCCTAACTGACTCACAAATTTAAAAGGTGATACCCAGAGTAGTCATACTCATTGGCTTGGTTTTTGGAGGACCAGGTATAACTGGTTCATTATTCTAGGTTTATGCTATTCACGTGTAGTACCACATCCAGGCTGCTCCCCACAATCTTGCAATCCCATTTGAAGATGAGACTCTAAGGATAACTCTGTGTGTCTGTACTACTTATGCTACAGCTCAGAAAAGGGGTTGTGTTTCTTTTAAAAATCAGCCATTAGACCCAATTAGCTCTTAGCAAAGGCATTTATTGTGATTGCACAGTAGACACAGCTGCAACAAAGCATTCCCCACATGAACCTAGGGTGCACCCTCCCACAAATAAACACAAGAACCAGGGGAAATCGGTATAAAAATCAGAACTCCATTAAGGTGTTTCTGCTGGACAGGTGGATTTCCCTGGACTCGCTTCACGATAGGTAGCTGAAGTCTCCACGACTTTCAGAAAGCTGCCCCATCCATCTTCAGGGCTTGGTTCTGAGGCTGTCCACTGTCTACAACAGAGATCAATCAGGGTTTATTATGGACCTACTAAGTTTATCACGGGGGACACAGAGAAAAGCAAGACAAGTGCCTGCTCTCATGGAGCTCACAATCTGAATTTTCACCTCCTGCTCAATCCTAATGCATATCTTCAACATGGTCCTCCCATATAATTGTGGAAATGGATAGTTTTCTAAGGAATGATGACTATGTCAAAGTTAAATTGGCAAAGTGACTTAGCAGCAGAATACAAAACCCCAAGAACTATACTTAAATATCCATGTATACCTTACTACCTCTTCCCTCTTTTTCTCTCCCCTAAAAGATTGAATCTCTTGCAGAAAAGATTTTTGGCTGCAGTACAGGAAACAATTAGAGTATTATAAATATGACACAACTTGGTAGGGTACTTCTATTGATGAATCAGTATCACTGCTTAAACATGGAGAGGTTTGTTGAAAAATTCATAGGCAACACGATTTGGACAAACTTATTTTTAAAATAAGTGACAAAGTGTTTACTTTTATATTCAATTGATATAGAACATACTCAGTTTTAATTTAACTTAAATAATTATGCTAATTAGTTGAATACTATTTGGGGGGCAGTGGAATTTGCTATTCTTTGGCTGAGTGAAAAATTGAATGGAACAGACATTTATCTCAATAACTCAAAAAACATTACATCAAAATAACTTTTTATTCTTAAATTCATCACCATCACTTTTTTCTCAGTACTCAGAATTCAAGTCATTGAAAATGTAAATTAAAAAAGGTAGAGAAATGAAACCACATGCACTTCTTCAATAATGACCCAGTGCCTTCCTCAACTCCTTTCAACTAAAGACCCTAACTTCCTATAAAATATTTCTGCCATTTGAATTTTTCTACATCTACTATTTTCTATAATCTCCCTTCTGATTATATTAATCTCTGCACAATAAGATAAAGAAGGAGCAAATTCTGACCCTGTGTAAAGACATGTAGAGTCTTAAACAGTGCATAGTATGTGAGGCATTGAATGTGGATTCAGAAAGATATAGTGTCAAATCCTGTCCAATGCCTTTATCAGCTGTGTGAGTGACCTTGCACAAGTAACATTTCTGTGCCTCAGCTTTCTTACCTTGAACATAAGGGAGTTGGAGTACATAGCCTTAAAGGTCCCTTACAGCTCAGAGTCTATAATGCTTCTCTCCTTTCTTGTTTTAGTCCACTTTGATGGTCTAAGTAGGGGATTGGTTCATAGGAGATGAGCTGGAAATAGGTGCAAATTTAAATAATTGCTCAGTATTCTTTCTAATCAATCTCCCCTCGAATACAAAGGAATTAAATCTCCCTTTATTTTCCTTTCTCCCACCATAGGTGACATAAATGGAATATTGTACCACTATTTTAAACCTCTACCATTCTTCTTCTCAGTTTTCTTCCCTGCCTTTATATCTGGGGAGTTGCTTTAATTCAATAATTCCATATCATTATTTTTTATCTGCCAAGATTCCCCCCTCCCCTTAAATCCCTGATGCTCTTCCCTCTCCCATCCTTGCTATCCAGACTCCAGATATTAACTTCGACCTCCCTCTAATTCTCTTAGCCCCTGGACCAGATTTTTATATTTTATTTTCTGTCACCATTTTATTAACATGCCCATGTCACTGTAGCCCCTAGCATAGGAATGAAGTGCAACCTGTTATTCTGGATGCAGAAGCATTTCACATCAGACACATTTCCACAACTGTACACTACTTTACTCTCTCTGAGGAAAGTCTGCTATTAGAAAAACTGCCTGGTTGGCATAATTTCTTATACAGCCCTATTACAGCCACCTTTGACTTTTTCTCCCTGGTGGAGTGGGGGTGAGAGTCTCCTCCCCTAACCCCCATTGGAAGAGTAGAAGAATAGTACACATTGACTCCGATGAAAAATGTCAAGAGCCAAACCTTCAGCTGCCAATGTTCATCTCAGAAAGTGGCAACTTATCCTTAAGTATTTTCTACCTACTTTTTCATTCATTCAAGCTCCTCTAAGAATCTAAGGGTTTTTCTTTTCCTTAGGTTCAGGATACTTTCTTGGAAACCAAAGGCTCCTTGAAGGGCCCTCTATCCTTTATCTTCAGATTCTCTCACAACCTTGCATTGATGTCCAGTCTAGATTTAGAGTAGCCAATGAGTTATGCAGGTACCATTAATCCCATCTCACAGATGAGGACAGCATGGTTAGCAAGTATTATTTTCAGCTTCTTCATACTACATCGGTGAATTCCAGTGTTGGAAGTGACCTGGGGGAGGGGGTGGTGGTGTGTCTAGCCCAGTTCCACACCTAGCCAACGTTGTACTCCACAACACGGCCAAGTGGACTTCCAGTGTATATCTTAAGAAATACAAGGAAGGGAAGCAGTGAAAATATTCTAACAGCTATGCTCTTTGTTTTAATTAATCCGTGTCACGGCCATGAAAGTGTTTTGAAAATGCCAAAATGCTATATAAATGTCAAACTTAACTTTCCTTATCTTTCATTCATTCAGCCTTCTCCCCCTTTCCGCTTTTATTTCCTGCTTTGTGTGTGAGCCCGCGCGCTCCCTCTCTCATTTCTCCTCCCCACCGTGCCTTATTTCACGTTGCTGAAATGTGAAATCTTTCACATAAACTTTCCCTTCCTAGCTTCCCTTCGGATTTCTCGCTCCCTGGCTTCTACGGTAACTGTCCTATTTGGTAACTTCTAAGAGAGGAGCTCTTTGGCGGCTTGCTGGGTTTGCAGACCAGGCAGGGGTGTATGGATTGGAGGGTTAGCTCACCTTGGTTGGGCTCAAAGTGGCAAATACAGTCTGGAACAATCAATGACTTATTCCTCTTTTCTTTGCCTCCTCCCCCCATTTCGCTTCCGCTCCTAGTCGGCCTCCTCTCCCGCCCCCGCCCAACACTGCTCCGGTGACCCAGAGCCCCGGGAGAGGAAGAATAGCTGCGGGGCCACGTTGGCTACAGCCTCCTTCCTCCCCCGCCCCAGAATCCCGCGGACAAACTCCCTGGGGCGCAAAGGAAGGAAAGAAGGCAGGAGAGGGTGAGGCGGGAAGGGGAAAAAAAATTCTTCTAGCTCTCCGCTTCAGGTCCAGGTCCTGTCTGCTCCTAGTAGCCCCCCTCTCCCAGGGGCTAGTCTCCTCGGACACCAGAGGGATTTGCAAGTCCTCGATGCCCTCTCACTCCAGCACAAACGGAATCCATACCTCTTGGGGTCTCTCTTGGAAGTCTATTCCCCCCGTTTTTATTCCCCACTTAAAGTGCGTCTTCTCTCCTAAATAACAGGGTTATGCGATTGTGCACCACTATCGGGGCTTCCCATACAAGTCAGGAACGTGTACCTCTCTCTCCTCTCCCTCCAACGCTCCTCGTAACAAAGGTTAAATGGGTTGGAGGGAGGGAAGAGGGGCGGAAAATGTGGCCCAGGCTCCAACACAGTCGCCTAAAACATCACAGCAATGTGGATTTCGTTTAGAACCCAAACACTCATTTCCTTTTCTTTGCCCCGCTCATCATTCTTCGGCTCGCCCCCATCCCCCATTTGCACAAATTCGCAGGCAGCTGCTCCTCCCTGCTCGGGATGCCCCCGACACGAATCCCATTGTTGCAATTTGCAGGCGATGCCCACTGCCCAGTAGCCAAGTCCCCCAGTGAAGCCAGCATGTCAGCGGCCGGCTAGCCACGCCACGCAGGCTCTATGCAAACCCCGGGGCCGCTGGCTCCGCCCACACCTTTCCAAGTTAGCTCGCTAGCTAGCTGGCCAGCCCCAAGGAATACAGCCGGCTTAACTCCCTCCCCCCGCCAGCTCCACCCCGCTCCACCCCATCCCACCCCACCCAGCTCCTCTCCTCTCCTCCCGAGCCCCCACCCTCAGGCGGAATGCTACAGCTCGCAGCTTTATTTGTCCCTTCCCAAATTCTTGTAATAACCGCGGTCTGGTGCCATCTGACACAAAAGAGGAGACTTTCTCCTGGCTCAGCGAAAGTCTTCGGTTGAAGCGAGGAGCCGGCGGGGGTGGGATTCAGGTGGCTGATGGTTTTTTCTTTTTTTTTTTTCCCCGGGAACACCACGAGTCTCCTCCTCGCGACTGTTTAGAACTGACACCCGTTTAAAAACACACACGCATACATTTCGGTCTCCCCGCGGCTGCAGGTGAAAAGGGGACTGATGCTTCTGTGAGACTGGGGCGCAAGAAGGAGGAAGGGTGGAGAGAGAGCTGCAAACAGCAGCAAGCACCCCCCCATCCCGAGTCTCGCCTTGCCTGGCTTTGCATTGCCTAGCCCAACCCTGCCCTGCCCAGCCCTGCCCAACCCAGCCCCAGCACCTCGCCCGCAGAAAGCAGCAAGACGTAGCGCTGAGCTGTGGGTGTTTCCTTCTACCTCTGAGGATGGGGAGGGGTTCCTTTCCCACAGGGGATTTTAACCATCACATACAGATCCCTCCTCCTAATCCTCCGGTGGAGCGGTTTGGGGGACACATTTTATGGCAATAAAGCGACTTAGCGCCTGCTGATTGAACCCCTCCCATCCTACCTCCCCCGCCCCCAAACCCCACCCCAGGACTCGCCTGCATTGGCTTTGCTTTGTTTCTGGGTTGGAGGAACGGGAGCTCTTTTGTTTGGGGGTTTGGTTCTTTCAGCCCCCTCCACCCCTCCTCCTTTGGCCTCTCCGGTTTCCTGAGCTCAGTGCAGCAAGGGTAGGAGAAGCGCCGTCTTGCAAACCCCCCTCGGCTGGGCCCCAATGTAATTTGATGCGGGCCTGGTAAGACTCCCCACGCTATATTGTGTCCGCTCTTGTTTCGGAAGCCTCCACCCACCGGCCCACCCTACATTTAGCACATCATGTGATCCGGGTAAGTCATTTGCAAGTACAACAGTTCTCTGTGTTGCCCCCCATTCATTTCCTGAGAACTGCATAGAGCAGCTGAGAGAGACTCTGTATGTGTGTGTGCGTGCGTGTGTGTATGTGTGTGCGTGTGTGTGTATGTGTGACACCGTGTGTATGTGTGTGTATGAGAAAGGGAGCGAAAGAGAGAGGAGAGAGAGAGAGAGAGAGAGAGAGAGAGAGAGAGAGAGAGAGAGAGAGAGAGAGAGAGAGAGAGAGAGAGTGAGAGAGAGAGAGAGAGGGACTGTATAAGGGAAAGAAAACAATTTCTCCTGCTCTGCAGCTTCTGTTCAGGTCTGTGCCTATTCCGTTTCTTATCAAAATAAACAAACCTTTTTTTTTTTTGCCATCCCAAATCAGACCGTATTCTCTTAACATGTTTTATTTTCCTTCTGTCATCTGCTCAAGTTAAATCATTTTGGTTGGTCTGCCTTCTTAAAAGGGGAAAGTGTTGTTGGGAAACGGGAGGGGGAGAGGGCGAGGGGGGATGCTGTTGCAAAGCGAGTAGCTTTGGTCAGATTCGCGGAGAAGAAAGAAGAACGTTTGGGGTTTTTTTTTTCACTCCCGCAAAACTTATCAAGTAACGTGTATTAAGCAAATGTTTTTCTACCCAGAGTAAAATTGTTTGGTTTACAACGTTTGTCTGACAGTTGCCATGGATTAAAAATAAAACATCAGTTCTGAATTTGGGGGTCTGGTTGAACAAGTTTCCCCTCGGAAACCTTTTTTTTAAAATGTGTATATACCAAAATTGGGTTTATGTGTGTGTGTTTTTGAGGAGGTTGCGGAGGCTAAGGGGTTAAGGTGGAGATGACACTGCTGGCATTAATAGTGGTCCTAGTGCTACATTCATTATTGTCTCTGGTAGTAATGATGTGTAACTGTCACTTGCAACAGTGCATAGTTCATGGAAGTGGCCGGGGGCTGGCCTATGGCTGTTATTTTCAATTAAGGTGGACCTCCATAGAGTTGACAAGGGAGAACTTTGCATTTCGACCCAGTCGTGAAAAAGCCCCGAGAACCAGTTTGGGAACCACTTCTTGCCTTATAAGCTTGCTGTAAAGTGACGACTGAGTATTGACCTCCGTGACATTAGTTTGTGTGAATGTTAAACACTATTATATGAGAAGAATCAATTCCGCCTTTGTTCGGTGCAGAACTGACTATTAGAACTTTGCAAACTTTTATCTTTGGGGAGAAGGGTGGGGTACACTCAGCACTACATTTTAGGTGCAATGCTTTTAAAAGTACCAATTCCTTTGTTACAAGCCCTGCAGCCTTCCCAACCCCTCTCACCCTGGGTTTTTTGAGTTCTGCATACTTTAATAATAATAGCTTTATTTAATTCAGTTGATGAAAG